TTATTATTATTATTATTATTATTATTATTATTACTGTTTGTATTTTAGGAGCAACAATCATTTATTATCAGCTTCTATCTATCTGTGATGTCAAATACATGGACTGATATGTGAAAATATGTATTGTGTTCTAATTTTTATACATGTCTAAATCAGACATATTTTTCTGTAATTTTTGATAAAGTCTCTGAGTGCCGCTGTTGGTTAGTGTGAGGATAGGCAGCCCTTCATTTTCGTAAACGAAATCCTCCTTTCTCTTTTTTTATATCGCAGCCAACCCGACAAAGAGATCCACCCAGCTCAGTGTGCAGCTCATGATCTGAGCTTTTTTGGTCGGATTTTAGCGCGTTTATCTAATTCCTTTGGATATTTTGAATGTTTTGCCATGATGGCGGGTTTTGGTCGTGTAAATAAAAGGAACTGGTTTCAGCGGTGGTCCCTGCTTTTCTGCGTCTGTGTCGCACACATGGCCCACGGTCAGGTCCGTTTTTCAGTTCCTGAGGAAATGGCGACGGGTTCGGTGCTCGGGAACATCATCCAGGATCTCGGTTTGGACGTGAAGCGACTGAAGTCTGGGCGGGCTCGAATTTTTACGGAGGACGGCAGTGAGTACATTGGGCTGAACGCAGACAAAGGGACTTTAGTTGTGGCTAAAAGGATAGACAGAGAGGAGCTGTGCAAGCAAGTGTCTCCCTGCTCTCTCCATTTCCAAATTATTTTAGAAAACCCCATGGAACTGCACAGAATCGACGTGGAGATCACAGATATTAATGATAACGCCCCGTTTTTCTCAAAGAAAGAGTACAATTTCCAGATTATAGAATCCGCCACGCAGGGGGCTCGATATTCGCTGGAGAGCGCCAGAGATCCGGACGTTGCACAAAATTCCGTTCAGTCGTACAAACTTAATCCTTCAGATCATTTTAAACTGAACGTTTTATCTCGACCTGATGGAACGAAATACATCGAGATGGTTCTTCACTCGCCGCTGGACAGAGAGGCTCAAGAGGAGCATAAATTAACTCTGACAGCGTTTGACGGCGGAAGTCCTCAGAAGTCAGGCTCTGTTAAAATAAATGTGCTCGTGCTGGACGCAAACGACAACGCGCCAGTTTTCAGTCAGTCTGTTTACAGGGTGACAGTTCCTGAGAACGCAGCCCAGCGCWCCGCAGTTTTAACTGTTACTGCCACAGATAACGACAAAGGCGCAAACCAGGAGGTGACGTATTCCTTCTCACAGCACACTAACAGCGCGTCGTCTGTTTTTCACATTGATGCTCAGACTGGAGAAATRACGGTTACTGGGGATTTAGATTATGAAAAAATAAAACATTATGAAATAGATATTGAAGCTACAGATAAAGGAGGACTGACAGATACAAGTAAGGTGCAGATTGAGGTGACTGATTTGAATGATAATGCCCCCATAATAAGCGTAATTTCCCTCTCCAACCCAATTCCTGAAGATTCTGCTTTAAACACTGTGATAGCGATGATCAACATCAAAGACTTGGACTCGGGTAAAAACGGACAAGTTCGGACTTTTATAAACCCAGATTTGCCTTTCAAAATAAAATCCACCTCGTCTAATTTTTACAGTCTGGTGTCGGACGATGTTCTGGATCGTGAAACTGTTTCTGCATATAATATAACCATAACAGCTGTGGATGGAGGCTCGCCGCCCTTTTCTGCGAATAAAACCATTCATTTAAAAGTATCTGACGTGAACGACAACGCGCCGGAGTTCCCACAAAATCCCTTCACTTCTTTCGTGCCTGAGAATAATTCACCTGGCGTGTCCGTGCTGTCTGTTAAAGCCAGCGACAGGGACCACGGAAACAACGCGCGTGTTTCTTATTTTCTGGAGGACAACCAGATAAACGGCATGCCAGCCTCGGCTTATTTTTCAGTGAACGCAGAGAGCGGGGAGGTTCTTGCTGTGCGCTCCTTCGACTACGAGCAAACTAAAGAATTTCAAATCCGAGTCAAAGCTCAGGATGGAGGCTCTCCTCCACTCAGCAGCAACGTGACTGTGAAAATCCTGATCCAGGACCAGAACGATAACCCCCCTCAGGTTCTGTACCCGGTCCAGACCGGTGGCTCTGTGGTGGCTGAGATGGTGCCTCGTTCAGCAGATATGGGCTATCTGGTGACTAAAGTGGTGGCTGTTGATGTGGACTCTGGAC